ATGTTCAAAACAATAGAAAAACTGGGAATAGCAGGATCATACCTCAACACTGTAAAAGCTATCTATGCTAAGCTTAAGGCCAACATCATTCTAAATGGAGAAAAATTGGAAACATTCCCTCTAAAAACGGGAACAAGATAGGGATGCCCCCTTTAACCACTTCTATTCAACATAGTCCTTGAAATTCAAGCCAGAGCAATCAAACAAAAGAAATTAAAGGGAGGGCTGGGGATGTGGTCAAGTGGTAGCGCACTCACTTAACATGCGTCAGGCACTGGGTTTGATTCTCAGCACCACATAAATGTAAAATAAAGATATTGTGTCCACCTAAAACTAAAGAAATGAACATTTAAAAAAAAGAAATTAAAGGGATATGCTTAGGAAAAGAAGAACTCAAACCATCACTGTTTGTTGACGACATGATTCTATATTTAGAAGATTCAGAAAATTCCACCAGAAAACTTCTAGAACTAATATATGAATTCAGCAACATAGCAGGATATAAAATCAATACCAATAAATCAAATGCATTTCTATACTGAAGTGATTAATTCACTGAAAGAGAAATTAAGAAAACCACCCCATCCAAAATAGCCTCAAAAATATAAAATACTTGGGAATCAACTTAACAAAAAAGGTGAAAGACCTCTACAATGAAAACTACAGAACACTAAAGAAGGTAATTGATCCTTCATAGAAAATAAACCATAAATAAACCTTCATAGACCATAGAAAATAAAAAGATCTCCTATGCTCTTGGATAGGCAGAATTAATATTGTCAAAATACTACCAAAACTCTTATACAGATTTAATGCAATTCCTATTAAAATTCCAATTACATTCTTCATAGAACTAGAAAAGGGGCGTTTTTTTTCTCATGCTGCCTGTTACTAATCCCAAGGACATTCCCTGCCGCACCCAGGATTCTGGGCTCAGGGACTTGGCTGGGACACTGCGTGACCAAAGGCTGAGCCTGGACCTGAGCCACATGCTTAACTTCATAGCCTCAATCTATTAATAGCCACCCAGTGACTAATCTTTTCACTACTAAGCCAGTAAAATTTAAATGTTTATCCATAAAGGTTGTTTGTGCTGTTCAAAAGAGTTTTAGTGAGTCCAGCACAAAATATTACATTTTGACTGCTCTACGTTTTTTTAAGTGTATGAAAAAATTGACTATGAAAAGTCTAATGAAGTCTAGGATAATTTAAAATTTCTTACAGAACTAAGCTGGGCTCAGTGGCTCACACCTGTACCCCAGCAACTGGGGGGCTGAGACAGGAGTTCAAGTCCAGCCTCAACAAAAGTGAGACCATAAACAACTCAGTAAAACCCTGTCTCTAAATAAAATACAAAATAGGGCTGAGGATGTGGCTCAGTGGTTGAGTGCCCCTGAATTCAATCCCCAGCACCCGCACCCTCCCCAAAAAAATTCTTATAGAACTAAAAGTTATTTTTGTAAGATCTCTGTGTAACACCTCTTATAAGATCTATAGATGATCAACATGTAATCTGCTTTCTTTTTTCCCCTCATTTTTTCATTATTTTTTAAGCTAGGAGTTACTTCCAGAATGTTACTTCTTATAATCATGTTATCAGTTCTTAAATGGTGACTTTTTTTTTTTTGCTCATAATAGTTATGTACATACATTCAGATTCATCTTGACATAATTATAAATGCATAAAATAATCTGCTTTAATTAAGTCCCCAGTACTTACCTTTACCCTTCCTCTC